ATCAAAATGCTTTTTCATCCTTTCGCGGTGATTTATTCTTTGGTATATTTTTCTAACAAGGCTGGACAGTCCCCTCTCACTCTAAAGCTGAACTCTTCAGAAATTTCCTCTTATTATTATTATTATTATTATTATTATTATTATTATTATTATTATTATTATTATTATTATTATTATTATTATTATTATGGTTTTATGCTAATTATTTTGCACACCTAATTTCAATTCATATAAATAGATTCGTTGACAAGATGCTCTTTGCCTTAAAATCAGGCATATTCCTTAAGCTTGAGAATTTTATAAAGGCACATGTCTCTATACATCTTGTCCTCAAACAATTCCTACTTAAAATCAGGCATATTCCTTAAGCTTGAGAATTTTATAAAGGCACATGTCTCTACACACCTGTTTCTAGGTTTAGATACACGTCTGTATATAAATAAATCTAAAAGCGCATACACTGACTTTTGAAAATAAAAGCTCAACTCAGCCATAATAATAATAATAATAATCAAAAAAAATAACAGAAAAAAAAATCCGTAATAAACAGTTTGAAAGGAGAAGCATGAAAGAGGAATCACCTAATTGAGCATTGAGCGAGTAGCGCCAACTCTCCGCCATCTCTCGTCAATCAGAAGCCGTTTTCTCAAATCTCGTTAATTCTTCAATCTTACAAAGATTCGTATCTACAGTTCGTTCATAGCAGATCAAAAATTATCTTAAAAAATCCGAAGCTCGCTGCTGATAATCCACTGATTCACTTAGCTTCTACAGTCCAAAATCGAGACAAAAAATATCCAAAGCGATGACGGAACAGACAGAAATTGATCGAGATCAAGCACGGAAAGTTGCACAAATAATCGAGAGCATCAAAGAGGAGGGAATAAAAAAGGATAAAAGAGTGAAAAATAGAAAGGGGGAAAACAAGGAAGTAACGAAGAATGTGAGTATTTTGGGGGAACGACTGTGGAAGACAGTTAACAAGTTCAGACGGTGACAGGTTAACTTTGTGTGACGTAAGAATGTCGATTTTTTTACGTAATTTATAGGTATTGAGTTCAACAGGTTTGATTATTAAAACCTCGATCTGTAATGGAGTAATATCTCGAAAAAGAATATTTCAATTTTTAATTCAAATACTATATTTTTTTATTATACTAAATCCCTTATTGATTTGGTTAAAAATATTTCGGTAAAAAAAAAAATGATGACTTATATGATCCAAAAATTGATTAAAAAAATGTGAATCCTTTAAAATATGAAGTTAAAAATGAACTGAAAAAAAAATTAATTTTAAGAAATTGGGACCAAATAGTGACTAAATCTATATATTGATATATTTCTTCTTTTTTCTCCCCCGCCCTGCCCAGAATGGGGAAAAAGAACCCGTTCGGGCGACCAACTTGCTCCGTAAAGGAAAAAAATTAAAAATAATTTTATTTCTAAATAAGTTATCCATTAAAAATTTATTTTAAATTTATATTTTATTCTCTAATAATAATATAACTCGAAAATTTTAAAAATTTAAAAAAATAAAATTAAACAGGTAAAAAATTGCCACACCCATGCACGCGCCCAATCTAAGGCAAGGCGGGGAGAGGGCGCCCCGTTCCGTTGCCATCCCTAAATTCGAGTAGTATATATTTATTTTTTACATTTTTATCTTTCAAAATTTAAACCAAAAAAAAAAAAAGCAAGTAGAAGAAAAAACAAGAGAAAATATAATTACAAAAAAGTCACTAAAGCAAGCAAAAAAAAAAAAAAAAAAAAATTTCTCCAAAATTTTTCTAAAGTGTTAATCTTAGGACTTGTCCAATAGTGATTTTGAGAATTGATTTTTTGACCATTAGAGAGAAAAATGTATCCTACCTATAAGAGAAAAAGTCAAAAATGACGTTTGAAATAGTAAAATAATGGTCAAAATTTGATTTTTTGGGGAGAAAATCAATACCAAATATGCACTTAATTTTCATTTGCTAGTGATATATTTTTGTATTTGGATAAACAAATAGCCAACTAGTGATAAAAGTTTTTCTCTTATTTGTAGTACTAGAGGCCAATCAAATTTAGTGCTTATTTGATGAAAAATTATTAAAAATTTATCAATTTTTAACAAGTCAAACTTCAAATTTAACCACACATTTTTTAAGATCCACAAACTTAGTGAAACTTTTCACTCACATCATCATAGCTGGTGTTAAGCACTAATCTATATGACAATTACATGATATTAAATGATAGATTTATTTAAATGCAAAGTCACATTGGTCATTTAATTGAATATATAGAATATAGTCACCTAAATTGGTGTTCTAACATTACTAACGTTAGATAACATTAGTCTTCTATAATAGGCTAATAGCACCATATAACATTATTTGTCTAAACTAATATCTATATGATCAAATTTATTTAACAAACTAGCAAAATCAGCATCATTAATCAACTTAGATTATCATAAAATGACCTTCGATTTCACAATTTCGCAAATAATTGCGTCTTTTTGATCCTCGCTTTGCAGGGTTGTCTTTAAAAATATATATAAACTTTCACTTAAATAGTAAAGTTTTTGGGAAAAAAATAATGATCTTTAATAATAAACACTGAACACAAATCCCAGATTATCACTGTGATTCAAGAGTGACTTGTTCTTTGGATTGCTCATTGGCAAATCCCAAATGGACAACTTTGGTTTCATTTTTATATTTTGTGAAGAGGAAAATTAGTGAGTTCCCATTTCATCATTGACCTAGTCTTCTTAAGTCACTTTCCATCAACATTATCTTCAACTTTGACTTTAACAAAAAAAATGAACTTCCATTCTTTTCAATTCATACCTCAATTTTTAACAAAATGTTTCTCATATTGTTTAATTAATTCATATCTCATGGGATGTGTCATATTTCACCTTATCGTCCTTTTTTGTCGTCTCTCTTTATGTCACTAATCATGTCTACTATTGACAAGTCTTTGTTAAATAATAACAAAAACTGTGCTATAATTGTTGTACGTGCTTAATCTAAAATAGAATTTGTATTTTAAGGAAAAAAAATATTATTATTAGATGTTTTTGAAATTACTTAAATTTTTTACACTACTTATAATGAATTTGTAAGACGGCTTTGAGCAATTCAAAAGTTTAATGGTAATAAAATTTTAGTGGACGTGCATATAGAAGGAAGAAAGAGTAACTCTTTAGTGAAAAGAAAATTGTTGAAGTGGACAGTGGAGGAGAGAGAACATGAGACAAGTAGAGAAAAGAAAGAGGTTGTCAGTTCAAGTCCTCTCATGATCATTGAGGTGAATATCCGACTGTAAATTTCAGGACCTCATGGGATCAGTCGAGGTAGACGTAAATTGATCCGAACACCCACAGTCATTAAAAAATAAATTAATAAAGAGAGAGAGGTTGCACGAATATCATATGCTAATACAATTATTTGTCAAGGCATTTTATTTGTAAATCCCGATGGAAAATCATGAATTCAACACGATTTAACAAAGGATTATGTACTTTAACATTCTACTAAATGTTTCAAGTGCAAAACTTTTTTCTGTATCAGTAAGCAAAATCAACAAAGCAAAGAAAGGGGTGGGTATTAAACTAAAAATTGGAAACGTGCATGAAGGTACAACAAAGATGTGGTACTACTTCCTCCACCTAATAAGACTTGAAGCACACTGGGAATTAATTGAAAGCCACTTCTCCGAGCTTAGCAAATTTCCAAAATCATGTCAAGAAGGGACACGATTCTAGAAGCATGGGTTGATTTGGCAGCCCTAAACAGTTGAGCTGGGTTAATTAAACTCAATTGGCACAGCAGAACCAGATGAAAATTGAGTGGGCCAGATCGCCATAATTGTCAAAAGCTTTCGGTATGACTTGAAACAGGGAAAAATGAGATATATAACCTACTTTTTTTATGTTGCATTGCTTCCAGGCAATGGATACATACAGATATGGGCATAGAATTTTAAGAACATAAAATAATTCAAAGTAGTTTTCGGCTAAAACCTTAAAAATGTATAGTCTGACCTATCTAAATTAATATGATCATTCGAACTATAATTTATTGATAAGGGAAGGTTATTAATTTGTAGAATGACTATTTAAGAAAATTATTTTATGTGTATTTGCTAGTGTCCAAAAACTTGCAACTCTTACCTGTCAACTTCTCCATCACCAAATGCCTGTTAATGCCCTTTTAAATATAGAACATGTGCAACGAATTGTTCATGAGAAAATATCAATGAAGATCTTATAGTAGCTAGTTACATGGTCACTAGACCATCGTGCAGAGAAAGTCGAAGAAGATATGGATGATGACTCCCCTTTGTCCAACAAAATTAAAACTTAGGTGCCCTTCGCACATGTGTTTCTCTTGATCTTTCAGATCCATATTGTAGCTCATAAGGTATTTCAAGATATGTAATTTAAGATCAAAACAATTGAGAAGAAACATGCTAGTCTAGATAGATGTTTGTCTAAGGAACTTGATTTTGCTAATTAGTTTATTCATATTTTGTAGTAATTATTAGATAAAAAAAATATTAAAATATACCTATAGAATGCAGTTGATTCATGATATTTGATTAAATACAAGAGATTATTAATTATTGGGTAATATTTTATGGCAGCAAGACTATAATTTACAAAAGAGTAATGTTATTCAGAACCATTGATATTAAGCACCAATTTAGATTACAACTGCATGCAGGCCGATCTTGTGATTTTTGGAGCTTGAGGTGAACTTCATAAATTTAGCCTCCCAAAATTATAGTATGCATGCAAAATTTGTAAGTGTATTATGGAACTACTTGTGAACTTAAAATTTAATAGTAAAATAACAAACAAAATGTATTCTACAACAAGATTATATTATAATCAGATAACAAATTCAACAATGTTCCAAATGGTAGTTAAATACTATTCACCTTGCAGTTTTAGAGGCAAGAATATTAATCAAATTTGAATAATTTAGCTGTTCAATCATTCTTTCTCAATTGATAACATAGTGAATCCATTCAATCTTTCTTGTGACATAGTTGATCGAAGATAAATCTTGATCAACTTCAATTTGAAGAAACTTTTTCCTACAAATGCAACCATAATCGGTATAGCGAGCAAAATTTTGTAAACTATATTAGCATTTGGAAAACAATCATCCAATGTCTTAAAAAATTATAACACTTCAATTGCTCTCGTTGATGCACTTGTTATATAGTCTCAAGATATGTAAATTCGAATATCAATCATCTCCATTAATGTTCGAACATTCATTATTTTCTAGATACTTCTCAAGATTTGTATAAGACTTAGACAAACTAGAAAAAGTTGCACGCATTAACCTATTCAAATTAAGCAAAAATTCAAATGTCACTTCATATTATTTAAATTGTTCAAATCGAGTCTTTAGAGAAGGTATAGTTTGATCAATTATAAAAAGGAAGTATTCAACTCTAAAAGACTCTTCAACTGATTGCTTTACATCATCTTTCATAAAATTGGTTCTTTCTTCTAATTATATGTTTTTTTTCTTGAAATACTGTTTCAGTTTTCATTTCACTTGCCTTTTTTGCCTTTTCATCCATGGCAATAGCAAATCCAATATTGCTATAATCTTCGAGAAATTAAACAAATACTTAAAAAATTTGATAGCACCATCAATATTCTTGTTTTTGCTGCTGAAAATTAATAAATTAACGATAAATAAATAAATAAGAATGAACGGAAATGGCGCCAAACCGTTATGGGCCATAAAATCTACCTTTGGCAATAAGGCAGGGGCAATACCATAAGCAACCACATAAAAAATTCAAGAGATATGAAAAAATTGTCATAGCATAAGGAATCTTACCATAAAAAACAACAATATTGGCCAAAGGGAGGGGGTGGGGGGGTTCTAAAGAGATAGAAGATGAGAATGACTATAAGACTGGACGGTTTTGTGGAAATCAAATTGTCCAGAACAACCAAATCCAGTGCGAAATCGACATATAAAGTCATTTTTAAATAAATAAATTTGATACTACCTTTGTGATGAACTAGTTGAGTAGAAGTCACTACAACACGAGTTTGAGAAACCCTAATCCACTTGTCCCCTTCTATTGAGTTTGTGTGATGACTAATAACAAAAATGACATTACTAACCTCAAATCAACTAAACCTTATCCCATATAAGTCCAAGTCAGCAAAAAGGATAGAATTTACCTATTTCTCATAAATTTTTAGGACATAAGGGAAACATTTTCCAACATAATCCCATATTTGACCGGTCATCATAGGAATAAAAATAGAGTCTTCGCCCCCCTCCCCGGGGCATAACTTAATGGTACAAAGGACAGGAGTGAGGTAATTTCAGCAGTGAGGGTTTGATTCCTGAGATAAGGAATTTGACTCTTTGTAGGCACTAGTGTACAGGCAAACTCTTATTCCCTGACTTGGTCGAACACATCCCGCGATTTACCTCCCTTACGATACTCCAGAGGCAGGGTGGTGGGTGCCCTCAAGATTGGGTTCAACCTTTTTTTTTTTTTTTTTTTTAAAGAGTCTCTCTGGTACGTGGTTCATCAAAAAGGGCACCTCTCTAGAGAATTATTACGACCTAACTCTTCAGAATCAAGTTATTTTAGTAAGAGAGAAATGATGAGGAATTAAAGATAAGAATAAAGATACTATTTATATAGAATTTTAAAATACAGTTTCATCTAAGTTATGTTGATTAGGAATGGACTATATTTGTTTTGATATTTGACAAGGTTTTCATTTATATTACATTGATATTGAATTAAAGATTTCCTCCCCCAAATTCTACTTCTCCTCTCTCTATTTCTCTTTTCATGTTACATTCTACATCAACTTCTTCGTATTGACCTGATTTATGATTCCATTGGAAGTAAGTACAATCAATGATTGAGGGATGTGTGATTTTGTACATACAAAGAAACGTGCAGAAGAAGATTAGAAGTATCATTTTTAATAATTGGTGAAAATTAAAGGCGAGGGTGGATTCAATATGGCTAATTTGGATTTTAGAACATCTCTTCAGTGGGAAATTGGGTTATGGAATTCCAGTTAGAATGCAGTTCTCTCTTGGATAATCAAAGAGGAAATACTGCCATGAAGGGTCCACTGTTTGTTTATGGAGGATTCTCGAGAAGAAAATAATTCCTTTTCCATCCCATTTCCTCGTTTACATTATCTAACTTCATTACATATTGCTTCAATACCTAGCTTTGCTGTTTTCGGCACTCTCGATCATCGGCAAATGGAGGATCCTCTTTTAACACGATTTACTTCATTCATTTCACCCCAGCTGATGTGCCAGATTTCTATCATGCTCAAACAAAATATCCCGAGGATATGGAATGACCTTCTCCTACCATTTCACCGTTGTTGTACTCGAGGATATGGCCTCCTTGGGTATGTCAAAGTCAAGGATATGCAATCATGTGGTATGGATATTCTGCGATGGACATTCTCCGGATAGGCGGTCCTCGGGTAGTATAGCCTCTTAACGGCCCACGATAGTTGCTATTGACCTAATAGGACTCCATGCACTTGGGACTTCAACCTTACCCTAATACACCAACACTTGACCCCCACAAGGACTCCATCTTAAACACGCCACTATGATACAATTGCAGCATCAGTCTAACTAATTTATCTAACATGACTTTATTGGATAAAAACATTCACCCAGTTCAAATTCTAATAGGGATGTACTACCTACCCTTATATATACAAAGCATTGGATCATTGTCCAAGTACCTTTTTCATTATTTCCAATTTATAGCCTTACGCACAAATTCCCTTTCTGACCTAAGCGTTGGAGGGATGACGAGAACACACATCGTTGCCTTTGTTTCAAGTACCGAAAGACTACGATCGTACTCATTCACTGTCCTCAAGCTCAGGATATTAGCGGATGCAAATTTTTGGTGACATCACTGGCCATCTCCATTTCTTTTGGGTTCTTGATAGATCTGGTGTATGCTAATGCAAATATTTCTTTTTCAATTACCTATTTCATTTCTAAACTCCATTTCCTTTTCCTCTGTATTCTTTTTTACGGAACACTGAAGAACCTTCTAAAGGTGATTGGCATGAAGGTGATTGGCATTCGCATGAACATTGATTCTTAGAAATTTACCACTCATTACCAGATACAGATGCAAAGAACTCGATTTTTTGGTACAAAAGCTGTTGGAAATTTATTTAAATATGCACGGCGGTATTTAAATAATATTTCAATTCCCACCAAAAATTTGCTTTGTGTTTAAATAAAAACTGTGATAAAATTATACCTTTGTTGAATTCTGCAATCCACAGTTGTCCAATTATTCAGCCTCCAATGGAAATCCACAGAGTGAACAAAATTGGTAGAACCAGAGTTTTTTCTTTTCTTGTGATAGTAAGAACATGAAATTTTTCTCTAAATTTTCAAACCCTAATAACTTATTTATATAAGCTCAAACAGAATTAGTCTGTTCCTTAAACTCAACTTGGTCTAATATTTATTAAATCCAATTAATTGAATTTTGTCCATGAATTAATTAATCCAATTAATTAATTATCCAATACTTGTTAATTAATTCATTGATAAATCTCATTATTCTAGTTCTCCTTTTATGTGTGACACATTAGGTTCCCAATCACGATACCTAATAATGTGAATTATTATTTTGATCTAATCAAAATCGATAAATTAAAATATTTCTTTTTAATTTATCACCAATTCACATTCGTCATCCCAAATTGACATCTAATAATGTATCGGGACAATACATGTAGCGAAAAATGTCATGTAGTATGACAAAACTAAATTTGTTCGTTCACCGTGAAACTATAATCCCTTCGTCAATATGATCTGATCAATTACGAGATATGAAAGTGTGTTAATTTCGATTATCGATCATATCTTTCATTCCGTTATTAAATCAATACAAATAGAAAACTCCTTTTTCAACTTATGAGTACACATTGACCAATGATTTCATTATCAGCTTAACTGAATGAAATATAGATCATAATCTCTTACTATCTAAAATTGACGAATTCTTTATTGGCCATTCACAACCTTCATATGATTTTTGACATATCCGAAGATGCCGTATTAGTGGCCCTTGACAGAGCTACATCCAACATCACCAAAGTATGACTGACCTCATATAAGACACTATGATGACCTCAAATCAAAGGACCAATTTTACTACCGAACGTTAGAGATTAACCACTGACATTCAGATAGTTCTCCATGTGAAATTTTCAGGGTATCTCCAATGTTTTGTTCTATAACAAAACATTTATACGGTCATTTAAGTGTCATCACACTTTAACTTGTGTGATCAGTTACTTACTTCACAAATAAAAAATGTCACACGTGATAGTCTATCCATAATAACGATATCCGTATCTCATTATTACTTACGACTACGAATTATTTTAGATTCAATCATTTGCAATTTGTATATGATAAAACTCTTTGTGATTAACAAATTACTAAAATTTAAATCTACGGACTCTATTATTTAATTTAATTGAATATTAATTAAATAATAGATCTGTCATAAAATTGCATTGATTATATATTAAAAGTGTTTTTGTCCAAATTTGATTGGACCAGGACATAATACTTACAGAAACGAGACATGCTCATGTGAAGGAAACTAGTAAAGAGTGTGTTTGATGGAGATTAAAATTAGATTTTTAGTATATTTTCATAGGAATTTTTGAAATGTGTGTTTGAAAAATTGTGAGATCCATGAACTATATGATTAATATTAATTGTTTGATTTTGATTTAAATTAAAATCTAAGTCAAACAGGGGCAAGTTTAGGTATACAATGGAACTAATCCCCGATCCTATGTGATATGATTGGTCTATAGAAAGAAACTAGTAAATTTAGCTATAAATCTTCTAATGATAGGGAAATTTAAGTTGCAGTAGGCATGAAGTGTCATCCTCCAACAAAGCTTCAAGGTCGATTAGATCATCAAAATCGACATCTGGATTGTTCAAGACCCCACCACAATTGGCCTACAGGGAAAATCAAGAAGATCAAATAAAATTTACACACAGTTCAAATATGTTCATGGACAAAATACTTATAGCTAAAACCATAACAGTGTATATTCTCGAAGCATGAAGATAAATATCACAGTTATTTGGAGATCATAAGATAATTGTTGCCAACCAGTGACAAGAAACCCTCTTGTCGGCACCCTCTTCATTGCATGCTCGTGGGTCGTACTTAAGAGTGCAAGGCATCAATTACCCGGCACTGAAATAAGTGGTTCACCTGAAGCCCTCCAGAGAAGTCTTGGGCTGTGGGATATTGACTTTTCACCCTTGACAAGGGGTAACAAAACTACCCTATGAATATTTTTTTTCCCCATTTTTCCACAGCAGTTGTGGAAATCTGGAGGAGTCAACTTAAGGAGTGGTATGTTTAAGGTATAATTTGGGATAATCGGTTTACTGTAACAATAATAGTATAC